TCTCGCTGGGGCGAGATTGGTCACTGGGTTCGCTCAGCTGTCTCACGTTAATGCTGACGTGAGCGGCCAAGCGCTGAGGAGTGGTGAGTGAAGACATTTGTGTCATATTCAACATTTGTGTCATCTTTACACACACCCTCCGCAGACCGTCATTTTGAATCTTTTCCCCATGAGCTCTGGGATTTGTTGGCCCAGGGCGCCGTCTGCTGGGGATCTCTGGAAAAACGTTGGACACTCTGTTGCCGGGATGAAAAGGGCCGGTCTCTGACGGCGGGGCTGCGGTGAAGCTCAGCGAGACAGCCGTGGAACGTCTTGCCACCGGCTCATTTTGTGTGGAGGATGTGAGAGGGAGCCGCTGTCAAGTCATCAGAGCTGACAGACTGGCTAAAAATAGACACTTTCATCATTAAATGATGTTTACTCCAAACTCGTGTCACCTTTACACACATCCTCTGCCAAAACCGTCATTTGCTCTGCCATTTGTTGTCCTAGAGCGCCATCTGTTGGCGGTCTTAGGGAAACGCTGAAAACTCCGTCCTCCGGCTGCGATGCAGGCCGGCAGACAGCAAAGAGGCGCACCGGTTGGGGATGACATCAGCTGCCCTGCAGAAGGAGCGTACGTCTCTTCCCGCCTCTGAACGTGTACGCCAACAGCGTAACGTGTTGTTCGCTGCGACCGTCTGGAACGCATGCTGGTGAACTCAGTTGGAGAGCGGTGTCACCGGCTGGGTTACGGTAACTAGAGGCACAGGACGCTGGTCCACCTGGACATCTTGCTCCGAGAAAGCTTGTCTGCTTCTCCTCGGGGAGAAGAACTCACAGGATGACCGGAGGTCGACGTGACGGGCCAAGCATTCTTAACAAAGGTTGGTCATCTACACAACTTTCCTTCTTCGTTCTTCTGACAGTGCTATTAGCTCGCTGAAGAAAAATGGGAGCCGATTACCCGTTCTTAACGTAATTTATACGGACCGGGTGGGGCCCACACAGCAGGTGGGCGTGGACTAAGTTTTTCAGTGCAATACTTCGCATATCGGGATAAAACCCATCAGCGACAGCCTTAAAGGGCGAAGCCTATATGAAATAGAACCATTTCTTTCAACACTTCTTTTGTCAACAAGTCTAGAAACCCCGCCCACCCCTCCAGCAAGGCCTTGTCGAATATTTAACCCTTCCACTGTTGCGCTCTTTTCATATGCTTTTACTAAAAACTCATCTCTCAGTCTGTGTATCCTCTTCCATGAACACCCATGAGCTAGTCACTGTACATCAAGAGACCTGTGCTAAGGTGCTTGACCTAGTTGCACCATTAAAATTAGGCATCCCAAGCGCACTCTACACCCTTGGATGAATGAGATCACTCGAGCAGCCAAACGTCAATGCAGGAAAGCCGAACGTAAATGGAAGGAGGACAAACTTCACGTTTCTTTTATCATGCTAAAATCATGTTACAAAGAGTACCAGGCCACTGTTAAATCAGAAAAAAATATATATATATTTCTCCCAAATCATCGCGTCAAACAGCCACAATCCCAGCGTTCTTTTCAATACCATTAACGCCACTTTAACCATGCCTCAGTCTGCTAACTGGGAGGTCTCTGCAGTTACGTGTGACGACTTTGTCAGTTTCTTTGTTAAAAAGTTTGAGTCGATCAGGTCACTGATTCCTCACACCACAGCTGACCCCTCTGTCTTTGTCCCCTCCACATCAGTCTTTAACCAGTTTAAACCCATTTCCCTCTCATTTCTAAATTACATCATTGGTCATATGAAACCCTCAGGTTCCCCTGCTGACCCCATCCCTGCATTGTTTTTTAAACGAGTCCTACCCTCCATTGGACCCTCTGTTCTTGACATTATAAACAGCAGTATGGCTACAGGTGTAGTTCCTGACACTTTTAAACATGCAGTGGTAACTCCTTTATTAAAAAAAACCCGGACTTGACCCTTCAACCTGCTCAAACTTGAGACCCATCTCCAAACTCCCCTTTCTTTCTAAGATCCTGGAGAAAATAGTTTTCACTCAATTAAACGAGTTCTTGAGTAGAAATTCTATTCTTGAGATCTTTCAGTCTGGCTTTAATAAACTACACAGCACCAAAACAGCCTTAGTTAGGGTCTGCAATGACATTCTTCTGGCAAATGACTCTGGTCAGTCTGTAGTCCTGGTACTCCTTGACCTTACCGCTGAATTTGATACTGTGGACCACAGTATCCTTTTATCCTGGCTAGAACACTGGGTTGGGATTAATGGTGCAGCGTTAGAATGGTTCCATTCATACCTGAGCGACAGGAGTTTCTGTGTTAATTTTGCTAACACTCTATCTACTTCAATGCCTTTTTCCTGCGGGGTCCCACAAGGCTCCATTCTTGGATCCCTTCTGTTTTCTTTGTATCTCCTCCCCTTAGGGTCTATCCTGAGGAAACATGGTCTTTCCTTTCATTGTTATGCTGATGACTCTCAGATTTATCTGCCGTTAAGACCCAACAGTTCCTACTCCATTCGCCCTTTGTTAAAATGTCTTGATGACATCAAGACTTGGATGGCTGCAAACTTTTTGAGTTTTAATGAGTCATTGTGTTTAACCCTAGCTCTGCCACTGTCACTGATCCTGCAAACCTGGACTCCCTTCAGCCATATCTAAAACAGTCGGTTACCAATCTCGGGATAGTTTTAGACTCAGACTTTAAGTTTAATAAGCAGATAAATTCTGTTCTTCAAAAAAGCTTCTTTCAGCTAAGGCAGATAGCTAAGCTCAAGTCCGTGCTGTCCAGATCCAACCTTGAAAATTTAGTCCATGCATTTATTACAACCCGGCTGGACTACTGTAACTCGTTTTATGCTGGGGTCAGTCAGGTCTCTCTCTCACGTCTCCAGCTTGTCCAAAATGCTGCAGCTCGGCTACTAACAGGAACTTGCAGGTTTGAGCACATTACTCCAGTTCTGTCCTCTCTTCACTGGCTTCCTGTGCGTGTCAGAGTTGATTTTAAGATTCTTCTGCTGACATTTAAGTGTGTTAATAGCCTTGCACCCTCATACCTCTCCGACCTCCTTCATCCTTATACTCCTTCTCGGGCCTTGAGATCATCAGACCAGCTGCTTTTGGCCGTACCAAAAACCAGACTGAAGCTCAGAGGAGATCAGGTGTTTTCAGTCATGGGCCCTAAACTCTGGAATAATCTGCCCATCAACATTCGACAGGCCACCTCAGTCTCTATTTTTAAATCACTCCTCAAAACACATCTGTACTCATTGGCATTTAACACAGTGTGATCTCATTTGGTATTTCGTTGTTGATGATTGTGTTCATCCATTTTGCTTTTACTCCCTGACATTTAATGCAGGGTGATTTGATTTAGTATTTCATTGTTTCTCATTATATTTAATGTTTTTATGCTTTTATTCATGTTGCTGTAATATCTTGTTATTAATATTTGATGCTGTGATCTTTTTTGGTAAGCACTTTGATAACAGTTACTGTTTTAAATGTGCTACATAAATAAATTTGACTTGACTTGACTACTGTTAAGGTGTTGAGGTGTGATTTGTCAATCTACATATGTATGTGTATCTTATCTCAGCCTAAAGCCCCCAGTATACTCCCGCGTACGTCCGTACACTGAGGTATGCACGTATGTACGCGGAGGTACAAGCGTACCCCCACAGGGCATGAACGCGCAAAGCTCAATTTTTACGACTGCGTACGCGTACTCTGTGTCGCACAATAAACTGCCCGGCGACGGACTGTTTTGTTTGTGACACCAATACATTAAATTCCTCTTCTTCATCCCTGATCTGGCCTTTTCTTTTGTTTTGTTTTTTGCCAAAAGGCAGTGATCTCTTCCTCCTCCACTGATGCCATGCCTGAAATGGTGAGAAATGAAGGAATTGGTCATGAGAGAATTAAACTCAGGTCCAGCGTGGCTGCGGAAGGGTCTGGAGATTTCCTGGTGGGCTGGTCTGATGTGTGGGCTGCAGAGACAGCGCTCCCTGTTTTTTTTTTTAGATCTTTTTATTAACAACATATAAACACAGAACACCGCTGCGGCAGAGGCTGCCAGCGCTCTTTTTTTCTGACCAGTCAATCAATCCAGTAGGCGTGTCAGCAAATGACCAATCGGCGAACTCAATTTGTCCCGAAGATAAACGCCCCTTGTCTGTGGAGCTGCTCTGCAGCTGCTCAGAGTGGACGCTCGAGTATGAAGTCTGAACCCTCTGCAACCAGTACGCACGTACGTACGCGTGGACGTACGTACGCAGGAGTATACTGGGGGCTTTAAAACCTGAACCCCTCACTCACTCACTGCTCTTTGAATTGAGAAAGCTCCTAGGATGAGGAGCGAAACGTCTTCTGTTACAAATAAAGTCCAGATGTTTTTGTACTGAACGTTTTTTGAATATGTTAGTAAATGTCTTTTTACCTGAAGCATGTTGTCTTTTCCCTTAATTTTCTTCTTGGAGTGTACCAGAATGCTTCATTTACGTAAAAAAAAAATAATAATAATAATCACAAAATCTCCTGGGGGGTAGGTTTGTCACCTTTTTCATCCCTTCTGAGTTTGCTGGTATATTACAAGCAGATGAGTTACATATCCTGATGCATGTTCAATAATCCAGGTAGAAAAATCTAAATAAGTTAAGTCTGGTCCTCTGGACATTCAAAAAAACAAAACAAAACAAAAAATGTAGAAACGTTTCATCTTTCATCAGAAAGACTTCCTCAGTCTGAGGTGCTGTATTCAGCTCAGTGTTGTAAATAGCACCTTCTCATAGTGGATCAATCAGTTTGCTGCTGACAACCAAAACCAGCTGCTCACATGATCAATTACAGATGAGTTACAGTTCTGACAACTGAACAATCAGCTGGCTGAGTGCATTTATTTTTGAGCAATTACCATGTTTTGTTTTGTTTTTTTTACAGAAAAGGGTTTTATTCTTAAACAAAAGGGTAGAAGTACATTGTTCAAGTCTGTATCCACCCCTCCCCCTCGTGTTTCACCTGATGAATGTGTCTGGAAGAGTGATGGGATACGACAGAGAGCTCTTCTCTTCGTTGGGAAGCTTCTGTTCTACAGTGAAGGTATGATCATCAACAACAACAGACATCATGGCAGGCAGGAAGCGGGTCACCACCTCCAAATCCTGAGAAAGAATGAAGAGACTGTCACATAGAAAACATTAACCTTTTAAGATGCCACTTCTTCTCAAGCTGACAAATGCTAATTCTGTTCATAAGGAAGAGCTAACTGACTGAATCGCCTCTGGACAGGCAACAAGTTCAGTTGAAGCTCAAACTGCTGGTAAAAACTTTTTTCTTTGTTCTTTTCTTAATGTCAGACTATAATTTTTTTATGTCATCATAGTGATAGTTTCTGCCTGAAACCAGCCACTAAGGAGCACAAGCCAGTAAGTTTCTTGTGCCGGTCCCAAGCCTGGATAAATGGTGAGGGTAGTGTCAGGAACGGCAGCCGATGTAAAACACATTTGCCAAAACCACAATGTGAGTTCATCAAGCGAAACCATACTGGATCGGTCGAGGTCAGGGTTAACAATGACCACGGAAACTGTGCTACTGTTAGTCGAAGACCATGAGGAGGGAAACGTGTCAGGAGACAGAGGGAGAAGAGGAAAGTCAAGAATGTAGGACTGAGGGTTGCAACTCTAAATGTGGGGACAATGACAGGCAAAAGTAGAGAGCTGGCTGACATGATGCAGAGAAGGAAGGTAGATGTTTTCTGTGTTCAAGAGACCAAGTGAAAGAGCAACAAGGCTCGCAGCATTGGAGCAGGGTTCAAACTGTTTTACCATGGTGTGGATAGAAAGAGAAATGGAGTAGGAGTGGTCCTGAAGGAGGAGATGGTAAAGAATGTAGTAGATGTAAAAAGCGTGCCAGATAGGGTGAAGTGTCTGAAGGTAGAAGTAAGAAGGTCTGATGCTAAACATTGTAAATGGTAAATGGACTGTACTTTTATAGTGCCTTTCTATCTTATTTCAAGATACTCAAAGCACTTTACACTAAAATTTGTGCCCTAATTTACCCATTCATACAGCAGTCTACTGTAGTGAACTAGGCCTGAGGTCAAATCTTGACCTTAAGAATCTTATGGGACAGAAACTGTCATTTCATTGATTTGAATCCAGAAATACAGGTTGACCCATCCTGAGACTTTCTTTCTTGAATTAATCAAGTGAAAGAAGACTACTTTCGATTATCATTACTATTTTACAAATGTTTGATAATCAAATTGTGTTAGTTCAAACAATGTTTAAATGTTGAAGTGAACTACTCATTTTTAAATCAACTGTGAAACAGTAATAACGATTTTTAATCCTCATTCAAAGTGGAAATCAAGTTGGAATATGTTACAGAGTAATGATTCAATTTCTTGATCGTCTGTTTGAAAGTGTAAGTTGGTCAAAGTTCAAGTTTCGGTCAACTGCAAGTTTACTGAAAAAGAAATGTCATGTTTAACTTTTACAGCAAGATACTAGAGAAGTGACTCCACGAAGTCTGAGTTCTTCATAATATCTTTTGTCTGTTCTTAAACAATCTTAATCTTTTTCCTTGACTTTTTAATAACACCTTACATCACAAAACACACCTCTGTTTTGGTCCATCGACCAATCAGAAACTCCCAAATGAACCGGAAATAGAGCTCTTTAAATGTTGGTACTTCCTAGTTCAACCCAGTTGGAGTCGGGTGGAGAGTTTGCAGCTCCAGTCGTTTGGGAAACAGGAAAATCCCGATATGATCCAGAGCTCTTCCGAGTATTGGGGATTATGACATCTTCCACCTCTGAGTGGAACTTCTGACGGACTCCACTCATGTGAAGTCCACTCGTGAGGTGAACTGTTGTTGACGAAGTCCCGCCACCACTCCGGACGGTTCTCTGCCATCCTACGGAGACGCTGGACCGGTAACGTAACTGGAGCTCCGCTTCCACTGATTCATCGTCAGAGAGGTAATGAGTCGAGTTCACTACCGAGCGTACCGAGGAAAGCTGGGTCGAATGGAGGGTGCCGTTCTGTTCAACACTTTTCAATCACACACACACCATCTCCCTCCCTCTAAACTTCAATCTTTAAACTCTTCTATCTGCTAAGAAATTAATCCAGATATTTTTAGAAATGTCTGAAGCAAAGTTTTTCAACCACCGCCGTGTGGTTAATGTCTGTGTGAAGCTGGAAGCAAGGTTTTCAACCATCGCCGTATGGTCTTCCTTGTATAACTTGCTAAATAAGCTGTCGTTATTTTCAATTTTTGCCAATTAATGTAAATGTGTGATGTGTTAAACTTGATTCTGTTAATAAATGACCCACTGTCGTTGGTGAGTCAAAGATAATTAACGTTTCCGTCCACATTTTATTTATTCAATGCACGTACATTATACAGTCCAGAAAAATGAAAGAATCCGTTTAATTTATGAATATATATCATGCATATGTTCATTCTACACTACTATATATGTACAAAGAATATTCATTCCTTTCATATTCATACACAGATGGGACACACATCGGAGGCAATGAGGAGTTCAATGTCTTGCCCAGGGACACTTCAGCATGTGACTGCTGGTGGAATCGAACTCCCAACTCCCACATTGGAGGAAGACTGCTCTAACCACTCAGCCACAGTCGTCCAACCCTTGTCAGTGGTTATGCTCCACAGGTTGGATGTGATGTGGAGGAGAAAGATACATTTTGGAAAGATCTGGATGAAGTGATAGAGGGTATTCCCAGGGAGGAGAGAGTGGTGATGGGAGCAGACCTGAATGGACATGTTGGTGAAGGAAACAGAGGGGGTGAGGAAGTGATGGATAGGTTTGGTGTCAAGGAAAGAAACCAGGAAGGACAGATGGTGGTGGATTTTGCCAAGAGAATGGAAATGGCTGTAGTCAAGACTTATTTCCAAAAGATGGAAGAACATAGAGTGGCCCTTAAGAGTGGAGGAAGGAGTACGCAGGTCAACTACATTCTGTGTAGAAGAGGAAATCTGAGGGAGATTGGAGACTGTAAGGTTGTGGCAGGGGAGAATGAGGCCAGACAGCATTGGATGGTTGTGTGTAGAATGACTGTTGTTGTGAAGAAGAGAAAAAGAGTGAAATCAGAGAAGAAGACCAAATGGTGGAAGCTGAAGAAGGAAGAATGCTGTGAGAAATTCAGAGAGGAGCTGTTAAAGTCTCTGGGTAGTAAGAAAGAGCTTCCAGATGACTGGACTATTACAGCAACAGTAATTAGAGAGACAGGTAGGAAGGTACTTGGTGTGTCATCTGGACAGAGAATGGATGATAAGGAAACCTGGTGGTGGAATAGTGAAGTGTTTTTGTTCTTTCTGAAGTCCACAATCATCTCCTTTGTCTTCTTCACATTGATGTGAAGGTTATTCTCTTTGCACCAGCTCTCCAGGTGTTCCACCTCCTGCCTGTAGCTGGACTAACCATTGTTTGTGATGCATCCCACCACAACTGTATCATCTGCAATCTTTAAAATGTGACAGCCTGGATGGGTAGCTGCATACGTGAGCAGAGTAAACAGGAGGGGGCTCAACACATCCCTGAGGAGAGCCAGTGCTGATGGTTATGGTGGAGGAGGAGAAGTTGTGGATCCTCACTAACTGTGGTCTGTTTGTTAAGAAGTGTAGTACTCAGTTGCAAATGGAGGGGCTTAGTCCTAGTGTGAAAAGTTTGCCCATCAGGGTTTGGGGGATCATGGTGTTGAAGGCGGATGTGAAGTCCACAAAGAGCATACGGACATAAGAGTCTTTCTGCTCCAGGTGGTTGAGCGCAATGTGGACCACAGAGGAGATGGTATCCTCTGTTGATTGGCTCTCACGGTATGCATACTGATGAGGGTCCTCGTTGATGTTGATGGTTGTTTTGATGTGAGTCATGACCAGTTTTTCTAAGCATTTAGCAACTATCGGAGTGAGGGCCACTGGCTGATAGTCATTCAGACCAGTCACTGTAGAGCTTTTTGGGACTGGGATGATGGTGGCAGTCTTTAAGCAGGTGGGAACTGTCTCCAGTGTAAGTGAGGTGTTAAAGATGTCTGCCAGCACCTCGCACAGCTGATCAGCACATTCTTTCAACACTTCTTCGGGGATGTTGTCTGGGCCAGTTGCCTTGTGCGGAATAATCCTCCTGAAAGTACTCCTTACTTTGGCTGAGGTCACCCTGAGATGCTCTTCATCCGGTGGCTAGGTGAGTCTGGTGCTGGGTGGTCTGTTCGGGTCTTCAAAGTGTGCATAGAACTTGTTGAGGGCATCAGGCAGAGATGGGTCTTTGGGGCATTGTTCGCTCCTTCCTTTATAATCCATTATACACTTAATGCCCCTCCACATGCTCCGAGGGTCTTGTGATGAATGGATGAATTGACCCTCGATCCTCTGTGCAAATGTGGCCTTGGCCTTCTTAATACCAGCAACCAGCTCTTTCCTTGTCCTACTCAGTTCCTCTGAGCTTCCAGACCTGAAGGCAGTGTTCCTGGCTTCCAGCAGGGTGCGCACCTCTGCATTCAGCCAAGGTTTTCTGTTTGGGTAGCTTTTAACATATCTGATAGTGGAGACGATGTCAATACATGTACTAATGTAACCCAGAACTGAGGATGAGTATTGGTCCAGATCAAGCGATCCTCCATTTTCAGCAGCTTCTCTGAAAACCTGCCAGTCTGTTCAATCAAAACAATCTCTCAGTATGGGGCCACTGTCCTGGATCCAACATTTAACTTTCTTTTGTACCGGTCTGGAGCATCTCAGCGGGGGGCAGGTAAGCAGGTATCATTAAGATTGAGATGTGGTCTGACAGTCCTAGGTGGGGGCCGGGTTCGGCTTTGTTTGCATCTTTTATGTTCGTGTAAACACGGTCCAGCGTGTTGTCTCCACGTGTTGGAATTGTCATGTGCTGTTAAAGCTTGGGAGACAGTCCTTTAGATTCACATGATTAAAGTCTCCGGCTACCACGTAAAGAGCCTCAGGGTGTTTGTTCTGCAGAAAACTGATTATATCATTCAGTTCTTGCAAGGCGTCATTAGCATTAGCATCCGGAGGAATGTAAATAACTGTGACGAAAGTCACTGTGAACTCGCGGGGTAGATAACGAGGCTGACATGTCAGTTATTTGCTCCAAAGCCTTCGAGCATGAGC